AGTACCCGTAAGAGATATCCTACAGAACCCAATTAGTTTTGTGTTAATGGTAAAATACCATAGGGTATTTGATTCGCTCTGAAATATCAAATGGCATCTTGAGATACCAACATGGTTTCTTAGGATATGGCCTTTTGGAAACTAAAAAAAGGTTTGGAGTTGTAGGTTACCAACCGTTTTATAGCGGAAAGTTGAACGGTATTTTACAGTACTAAAAAGGGTGAACTATTGCGCAATAGTTCATTTAATAAATATCTTTGATTGATGATCGATTGTATGTATGTGTTGCCAAAACATTTTTCAAGTTATGCATCTACATTAATGGCAAGTTTTTTGCATTCTGCTATTCGAGAGAAACTGTTTTTTTTAGGAAAAATATTTATTTTATTTATGTACCGTTGTAGTCTTATTTTATTGAAAATAAATTTTCCTCTGATCAACGCTAATACTCATTACGTCAGAATTGAACACAAATAATATCTATTGTTCAAGATTAGAAAATTCTATACATCGATTACACAATGATCATTTTTCATTTTGTTTTTCTTGACAAGTATTTGGTTTACTTGCAAAAAAACCCAAAAACGTTGGACAAAACTCGTGAGGGCACTTGACCAAGTACCTGCTTGCAAGTACATTCACTGGGGTTATTTACCTTTAAAAAGAAGAAAAGAGAAGGCTGCTTCCAAAACAGGTCTGTGATTGTGCTGGGACTTAACTTCAGGTTATCTTCCTTTCGAAATTTTAATACTATGTATATCAAATGTGATGGACGACGGTGACTATATAGCCGCGGTCGATGCCATAATTATAGAACAAAGAGGTAGATATATCGAATGAAAAAAAGTAGACATGGGCGGGACCGTCCCCGTTTCAGTCCCGGTTCCGGCGGGATTGAGACCGGGACTGGAACTAGAACTAAGATTTCTTTTGACAGTTGACATCAGCTAAACTTGACCTGTTCTCCATATTTAAATAGAAACGTTGTAGAAAATCGTCAGGAAGTCTTACAGTTCAATCGTATGTAACTAGGCATGCGCAGGTTACTTTGCTTATATGACCAGAAGAAGAAACATACGGCATACCTCATCCATTATGGACAGATAACAGATAACTGTCGATTAGAAAACCCCTGAACTTTCGGCATTAATAGAGTATTTTTTCTGTGTGAGCAGAATTGCTATAAGGACCGAGACCAGAACCATAACTTTTCGGAATCGGGACGGGACCGAAAGAACTTCACGAGATTGGGACCGGGACGGGCTCACAACAACTTTACGAGTCCGAAAAACCGGGACCGAAAAGCCTTGGTCCCGCCTATAGCTAAAACAAAGAGACTGAGAAAGGAAAATAATATAATATATTCACATTCTTCGTTATGATTATAACGCATGAATCTGTTCAAGAAAAAAAAGAGAAATTATAAAAGAAGACAAACATCTTTCATTGAGGGAAAAGACAGTGATTAGTTCCTCTTTAGCTTACGTCCACTCGAGGAAACTGCGGCGTATGCGGTAAATGTCCTAAGTACTAAACAAACATATTTTTCAACTGTGAACCGAGAAGAACTCCGTTCAGCGTCTCCACTGGGTCTTTCACTAACAGTAAAAATCCGTCCCCCTGAGTTTCGCCTCGTCATCGCCCCACACCTCGTCAAGTTTCAAAATTCCTCCTCGCGGGAGCCGCCCCGTGAGGAATCGCGGGTCCTCGTCCATCGCCCACCTCTGCTACCAAGATCCAGTTGAAATATCAGTAAAAAATTCAACGTTTATAAAACTATTTGTGTTGTTAAATCTCATTCTACCGTTCAGAAACCTAATACCAATGACCAATGAGCGCATTTCCAATAAGAGGAAAGTCACATTTTTATAAAAACATTTAGGATAAATTAAGATGTTCTTTTTCATATGGCCATTGGATAGAACGCATTATTATCTATCTAAAGATGTAGAGTTGATCGAAAAAAAATTTTGTTCTGAAGAATTTCTAGAAGAACTTCAGTGAAAACTAAGGTTTTTGAGAGATTTTTTCTAACGAACCCAAGAGAAGCTAAATTTTTTTTTTAAACTGTGTATTATGAGATTGTGGAAATTAATTGTGATCACAGCGAGGTTTTACAGGGGCTTTCCAAAAGCCTTCAAAGGACTTCTATATAGCTGATGTCAATACAGGTGAAATCACTCAAAAAAATTACCTCATGAATACATAAAGCTGTCAAACCCGTCAGACTGTCAAGTTTTAGCATTTTGGAACAAAAACAAAAAATTTTAGCTTATCACTTGGGTTCGTTAGAAAAAATCTCTCAAAAACCTTAGGTTTTCATTGAAGATCTCCTAGAAATTCTTCAGAACAAAATTTTTTTCGATCAGCTCTACATCTTTCGATAGATAAAAATGTACTCTATCACTCTATCCAATGGCTAAATTAAAAAACCATCTTCATTTATCATAAATGTTTTTATAAAAATGCTGCAAAACCTCACCTTAAAATCCAGATTCTCAAAAATCTCGTTACAAAAGTCAAAATAAAAGAAAACTGACTTCACCACTGGATTGAGCATGGTCAAAATCACCTAGACTCTGATATTTGTGACACTGTTATCGTTCTAAGACGCTTCTCTTTTACTTGGAAATGCTCTCATTGAAAACCTGTTAGAATATACAACACTGGATTCTCTGTGAGGTTATCTGCAATAACAATTGCACATTTCATCATAGTTTTCACGGAAAATCATACTTTGATAATGTTCTAAGTTAGAAACAAAGATGAACGATTAAAATGTTTGAATATTCAAATTTTATTTTTGATCATTATTATGTCTAGTATTACAAGACTAAACTAAAGTGAAAAATATTATATAAATAATTATACAAAAATAAATGACATTCAAAATAAAATATAAATACAAAACTAGCAGGATGAAAGAAAAAGACTACAGATTAATTGCAAGAGCAAAATATGGAAAATTTAACAATATTCTATGCAAAGAAAACTGAGTTGTTGAAAGGTTAAATTTACTTCGGTTATTGAGATTGTTTCTGTTTTTCATTTTGAATATTAATATTTTCACCTTCATGTTGTGTACCTGGTCTACCTTCATGAGGATTTGGCAGTGCCTGTAACGTTGGTTCAACATTCCATATTTCTCGGGCATAATCTGCTATTGTACGATCGCTAGAAAATTTTCCTGATGCAGCAATATTTAAAATGCATTTTCTGGTCCAAGCAGTTTGATCCTTGAAAGAGGAAAAAATTTTCGACTGTGAACATTTAATTACATGAAGAAAACAGAATATCTTAAAAATATTTTTTCAATTCGTTAAAGATGTCGAATTTTGGGTTGTGTACTATTTGAGGAAGAATGTTATCATTCGAATATAGAATTTATCCATCTTAACTACCACTAAACGCTCATATACATAAATACATATATTCCACTCCTCACATATATGCGTATGTTTGTAGATGCCGGTGAATCGAGGAACAGGTTAGACAACACTAACTCAGAAATAAATGTTGTCTACTGACTCACTCTCATGCTACACACACTGGCATCCACAAGTGGGAAACATTCATAAACATACGCATATATGAATACTTTGTATCGACCAAAACTCCTAAATCTATTCGTTGATATTTATTTAGTTATGTAAAAATATGATGTATCCTGGCTATCTATCACAGAAGAGTTTAAAAGTATGTAGAGAAGCTGTAAGTTGGCAAAATTTGACCAGAAATTGAAATATTATTGATTGAGTTGAAAGTTATAACTAACTGACACAGGTAGGAATAGGACCAGAGAACAACTTCTGACGGTGGTTAATACCCGTTATCCGAGAGCACAGATCAGAATACATTCACTGAGAATGCAAAGTGCTGGTGACACTCCTGGAGTCCCAACATAGTCAGGTTTAGACAGCATGCAGCTTGTTACCCCAGGCGTTAAACCGGTTGTTCGTGGAAACATACACAACATACAGATTGAGTTTTAACTGACAAGGGAAGAGTTCCAAGTTGTTTTTTCCAATGAAACTAGGTGGACTATATGTAATTGATGACGCTGATTCCAAATATGAACATGGAAACTGTCCTTAAACTTTTTGTTGATCCGTTTTCTGAAAACTGGATCTTCAGAAAACCAGGTCTCAACTTCAGTACATTTTTCTGAATCGGCTATTTTGTAGAGGACACAAAACTGTCTATGTCTATAAGTTTTAGTTTTTCAAAATATGATTCAACCGTGTTATGATTTTTGTAAATTATCCTACTGCAACATTTTTCCACTAAAACCGGCGTAGCAGCGTTTTGGGAAATTTTTCTACGCTGTTGATTTTTGTTTTAAAAAATTAAAACTTATGGAATATAGACAGTTTTGTGTCCTCTACAAAATGGTCGATTCAGAAAAATGTTTTCAATTTGGACCCTGGTTTTCTGAAGGTTCAGTTTTCAGAACACCGGTCAACAAAAGCCTAAGAGAAATTCTGATGTTCATATTGGGAATCAGTGTCATCAATTACATATAGTCCACCTAGTTTCATTGAAAAAACGATTTGCAACTCGGGATCCTTCCCTCGTGAGTTCAAGAAATTTTTTACATTTCGATCTACTGCAAAGCGTTGCCTTTTCATCTTTTTTTAAAATAAAATTTCTTGAACTTAGCTAAAACTCAATCTGTATGTTTTGTATCGACAAAAAAGCGTTTAACACCTGGAATGATTCTTCGCTAGTTTATCTATATCGTAATCATCGGTAGTATTTTCTTTTCAACAATACGAATAATATCGAAGTCAACACGAACATTTCAGGATGCAAAAACCAGTTAATTTTGACGACATCATATTTAATCACACTTATATCTTTTATTTTTTTCGTTTCTATTTCGTTCCTCTTATTTCACAGTTTTCTGCTCCAACCCGTTATAACTATTTTCAACTTTTTCGTTAAGAGTTAAATTACTTATAATCGTTTATAGTTATAAACATTTACAATTGTAAAATTGTCAAACTCTTCAATGGTATCTATGTGAAAATTAAACAAATACATATGTAGTCTGTATTTTTACACTATTAATGGGGGTAATAGATATAATATATATCCATAGTATGACATTTCCGTATTTGGACATTCTATCTTCCACTAATATTAGAAGAACGTATATATATCTACCCTATATAGCTCATTCACTCGTTCTTGACATTTAATGTACTCTTCGTAATCGGCCAATAACATATAACTAAATACGAAGAAGTTTTATAAATTTTTCTGTCAAAGAAGTTTCAGTAATCTTACTGATCTCCATCATTTCTTAGGAAACTATCGACAATATCTTGAAATAATGCTGGATTTTCCGGTGAAAAAAAGCCATTTTGAATTTGGTCAATTGCTTGTTTTAATTCAGCATTTTTTTCATAAATATCACGAGCATGATAACTAAACGTATAAAAAAAACAAATGTAAATTTCTTTTTGATAATACTAGTAATAATGTCATCTCACCCTTCACGTCTTCGCTTTTCGACATCATCAACTGTCATACCAAATATGAAAATATTATCATTTCCCACTTCTTCAGCCATTTCAACATTAGCACCATCTAATGTACAAATTGTTAACGCTCCATTTAACTATAAACATATAAAACTGTATTTGTAATAGTTTCAAGAAAATGATTGAAAAAAATTCTTGCATACCATAAATTTCATATTAGATGTTCCACTTGCTTCCATTCCAGCTAATGAAATTTGTTCGGATAAATCAGCAGCTGAAATATTAAAAAAGAAAAATCAAATTCAACCGATGGTTTATCTATATAATATTTAGCGCGATTTGAACAGATTGAACATAGTCATTTAATTGTAGACAAACCTGGTATAATTTGTTCCGCCAATGTAACACGATACTAGAATGATAGATAATAGATAAAATAATTCGATGTATAATATCAAACAATTGATATCAACTACTTACATTTTCAAGAAATATTACTTTTAATCGATCAGAAACAACTGGATCATTGTTAACTATTTTTCCAACACTATTGACTAATTTAATTATTTTTTTAGCCATATGATATCCAGGTGCAGCCTTTAAATCAAAAACATTTGCTAAGATTTTAAATAGAATTTTCTACTCTTACTTTTCCACCGATCATCACTGTACGAGGTACATAATTCTCATTTGGATTTTTTATAATACGATTATACATTGTAATTATGTGTAAAACATTTAATAATTGTCGTTTATATTCGTGAATACGTTTTACTTGCATATCAAATATTGATTGGGGATTTATTTGAATATGATATGCTTTAGTTAGCCAATCAGCTAAACGTTCTTTATTTTCCTAACAAAAAATATATTCTAACAACGTTGCATTCGTTTTTCGTAATACATAGTTTTTTATTCATACCTGTTTAACACGTTGAATATTTTTAACAAATGCTTCATTATTAATCAAGTCTTTAAGCTTTTTTAATTCATCAAGATTAGTTATCCAACCTTCACTGATTTTCTACAAAAATAAAAAAATGGAATGAAAATATAGTAGTATCGACAATTAGTGATTTGAATTTTACTTCTGTAATGGCATTCGACAGATTTTGATTACTAAGAACTAACCATCGTCGGGGTGTTATACCATTTGTTTTATTTTGAAATTTTTCAGGTGTCAATTCATAGAACGATTTAAACCTATTAGAAATAGCACACATAACAATTAATAATATAGAGATCCCTACAAAAAAATATTTTATCGGTACTGGCTGTGCACGGGTGCGTACCGGTGCCGAATAATTTTTTTTTCTGGGCACCGATGCGCATCCGTGCCAGAAAGAATGTAAAAATCTCGCACCGATGCGCACCAGTGTCGAAGTTTTGTTTTCAATCACCATTTTGTTTTGACAATTTCTGTCTATATTAACGCTACAGTCTACTTCTAATATTTCGAATGTCTTTTTGACTTCATCTTTTCCTTCTCATAAGAGAAGTGCCGAGGTAATACCGCATGGTTTTGGCATGTCAGTGTAGTACTGATCAGTGCCGCACTCTAATACAAAATTCAGCATAAACAACCATAATAAAGAACTAATTAAATAAACTATCAGTGCGGCATCGATTTTTGCCAGTGCAGCACTCTTTCGGCAGAAATATATCGGCACTGGCGCGCACGGGTGTCAATCGACACTGGTGCCAGCCAGTGCTAGTGCCAGTGACCGATGGCATGCCATGCGCACCGATGCGCACTGAAATATTTTTTTTTATAGGGATGCAATAGAATATGTCCTGAATATTTATGAAATTCAACTCCCACTGTTTTGATGATATCAGTTTTAAAATTTTGAAGAATTCTCTATTAATCTTTCTCTTGAAAATTTTTTAGATAGATAGATACAGTTCACTTTTTTCCGATCAGGAATCAAACCGTTGATATAGTCGAGTACTTTGCATATCTGGGGTGTTTCGCGACGAGAGATCACTCACAAGAAAAGGAAATTGAAACGAGAATAACAAAAGCATCTGGGGCGTTCAATAT